CTAAGTGCTCAACCAAATGCCAAAGATACATTGCTTCCCCAAGACCTGATCACCACGTACATGATGATAATCAGGGCAGAGAATGAATATGTTGTTGGATTCATCTGCAGTCCCTGGGATTGATGTACTTCATGGTTAGATGCATGGTTTAACTAATTAGTCTAGAATACTACCTGGTGGGTCTGCACTTGTTCAACAATTACAAATGTTCATTTGCCACACTCAGGTGCTCGGATTTGCCTGCCCATGGAGTACCCCCCCCCCCAATAATAGCACCTATATGGTCGATGTGGTACAACAGTTGTGTGATTCAATAGGGGGGCTATGCATATATGGTTTGGCCAGGGCCGTACTAACTACTGTCACAATGGCTCACAATAATAATGTTAGACATTTCCCTCAAAACAACTTCATTCAGTGACAGTCTTACCTGGAGACATGCCAAGAAAACTCGAGGCTTTATCTTACAGCCTGGGATAAAATAATATATCTTCAGGTCATAGGTCACTGCACTGCAACTGCCCCCCTCCTCCTCCAAGGTTCACTCCCCCCCCCCCATCACTTTGAATATCACATATTCGGAAACGCACAACGTAAGACCTGTGAGGTCTTTCACAATCCACCATAGCCATGGGAGCAGCCTAAAGTTAATGATCTTACCAATCAAGTTCCAGCTTTTGGTTTCGATAGTTTTCGCTCTGATTTTCCCTGGTGATGAAAGCATCACTATAGTCTCTCAGCTAATTATACCTTATAAATAGGTTGTTAGGTAGTTTCCCCCTAAGCAGCGTTATTCCTTTCCCTGTGCCCTTCAAGTAAAGGAAAGAAACATTGTTGCCTTTAACTTGTTGTGTTGTGTCAGGTGGGGTCTGCTTTTAACAAACATAATCTGATTGCCTGATAAGTTAGTGTTGTAAATTGCATGAGCAGAGGAGCATTTTGCTCACCGGGGTTACCATCTGTTACAGTTTAAGTTGCACAGTAAGTCGGACTTACATTCTTGCTATTTTATAAAATTATTTGTTATACTGAATACAACCAAAGCATACTAATAGACAATCTCACTTTTACAACCATTTTTTTTTAACATAAATGATGGCGATAATATTAACAACTTGCTTGAGGAGCCTCGTGCATTTGGACGGGCCAAATAATCAACGTTTTTTTTATATTTTATATATTACATCAAGTATTAAGTATGTTCAGGTTGTATTAGTATATTAAATATAACATTTTTGTTTGCCTTTGTGTGATATTGGTGATAATAATAAAAGAAAAGTATATATTTATTTATTAAAGAAAACTCCGCAAAGATGTTTATTCCTGCTATATTTAGCTTTTCGTTTTTCTTGTTTTGTGTAGCAAGCACACTGAAGTCAACAAAATCATGTGAATATTTACAAATCAATATTAAAAACTCAAATGGGACGATAAGAACTCACGTTTCAGTCAGACAGAAACTGATCACTGCTGGGTTTATAGTGGGTAACTATCGATTGAGTTGATAAATATCCAGGTTTATAATATAATATTACGTAATGAACGTGATAGAAATGCGTCATCCCGAACACGAGTTCATTATCTGACTTGGCTAGTCGGATTAGAACAAAATTACAGCACGAAATCATCTGCTAAAAAATTATTTCGTTTTACGTTCGCGTGTTTCTTTCATTCGGGCAACATGGCCGACCAAGCCACATAAATCGGCTTTGTTCGTTGTAATATATTTATAAACTCATCTGGAACAAAGTGGCAATTTTATTTGATTTATAATGCATAATAATGTTTACTTTGATCATTCAATAGAACACAAATGCTAATTTGTAACTTGGTAATTATATCCTGGTTTCTGATTGATCACGTCAAGACACGCGTCACGATAAATGGCGTTGTTGACTTAGTGTGACGTTTTTCCATTACACAATTCTAGCTGTGGAATCATAAGAGTTTTACTCAACTGACTTCAACAAACTTTTAACTTGGCTACTCGGCTATCGCAGATTACCCACTCTTAATTTACATCTGCTTATATTTGTTTATATTTCATTTGTGCACGGTGACGTCACTATACTATATTGTTAATTTGTTAATCGTTTTCCCCCACGCGCTGTATCAACTGGTCGGTTTTCACTGCGATGAAAGTCCAGCTGTACCATTATTCCCAGGGTTGTTATATTGACTTTCCATTGAGCTATTCAAATTACTCAGAGTAGATAACAAAGAACGTTGGCTACACATGCTATCAAAATTGTTGTATATATATGTTTTATTGAGAAATTTACATTTTCATGAGCACGGAATGAATGAATAAATGAATGAATGAATGAATGAATGAATGAATCTGTGGCATTGCCATGAGTAGAATCTTCTCTGTGACCTTGTCTCGGTCTCAATAACTAGAGTTACTTTGTTTTGAATCTGTTTTATGTATTTGTTCTTACAGCAATCCCTCCGAGGGTGGAATGTCCTAATGGTGGACTCCAATACGGGGACGACTGCTTTATATTATCAACAACAGCGAAGCCATGGATTGATGCACAACGAGATTGTGCAAACATGGGAGGTTACTTGGCGAGAATTAACGATGCGGCCACTCAGGTAACGTGGCAATTTATGACGTTCATTACATTTTGGGACGACTCAACTTTTCGACGACTACTTTTCACAAAAAACAGACATGGGTTGGACATTGAATTAATAAATTTATTTTATAGGCTTTCATAGAACTGACAATTACACGTGAAAACAAACATCAAAGTTACACATTTGGTTTAAACGACATATCATCGGAGGGACTGTACAGCTTTGCCGATGGAGCAGAAACCCCGCTTGCATTTGACAATTTCAACGACGGGGAACCGAGTGATACTGCCAATTCAGTCAACTGCGCAGGTAAGTCGCCAGATGTCCAAGCTTGTCCAAGATGTTCAACGATACTAAAGCTACTAGATTTGATGTGTAGAACGGATAAAACATTGACAAATGCATACAACTTACACTGACAGTGTCCTAACGTCTGTACAAACTTATAACAGTTATTAACAACCCTGGCGTATTTCGTCGTACGTTTCATTTGTTTCAGAACTGAAGGAAACAGCTAGCTACGAATGGAATGATGTTGGCTGTGGCGGGGACAAGGCGTATATTTGTCAGACCCCGTTAGTCAGCGATCAAGATGGCAAGTATAATGTCCCGGCTTTTTTTTCTCAAAAATATCCACCCCATATCGACAAAATGCTGCATGAATTATGGTAACAACGTTACATGTTTGTTTAGCAAGCTTTTCAAAGCTGCATTGCTTTGTCGCTAGAGGGCGTCACTCTAAAGATATTCCGTCATGGAAAGCACTCAACCCACTGAACAGAATAAAAATCGCGCAAACATCAGCTTGGGAGTAAAACAATAAGAATAAATAGTAGGGGTCAGAATTGTAGCAAATTACCAAGAATTATTTTGGGCATCGTATCAGAAATAGTAAATCCACAAAATCAAGTGTTTTTCAAAAATGTCTACCTGCTAGAAGCTACTTGTAAAGTCAATGAAGCCAGCCATCGCACACATTTACTTCCTTCAAGCTCGACGTAAAACTAAAGGGACATTAAAGCGGGAGGGTCGTCACATGCGCACGCGCGGAAATTGAGTCCCAAGCGACGATAACAACACACGCTAAAAACGCAAAGGCTCATGGGTAGACGCTTGCTGGTAAACAATGACACGCATGCGCAGGTGACGACTCTCCCACTTTAACATAAGTATAACAATGTTGTGTTGCAGTAACCTGTGGAGTACACTCAGAGGGCGTACTATACAACTCCAAATGCTATATTTTGGTAGAGAATGAGCTCTCATTTGACGACGCCGTTAGCGACTGTGCCATGAGAAGAGGCATGTTGGCTTCCATTACTGACAAGGAAACCCAAGTAGGTTATTATACAATTCATAGATTAGAGGTCGTATATAGGTCAAATAAAAGTCAAAGGTCGTTCATATATGTTGGTACTATGTAGATTTACAAGGCACATTAAGGTAGTATAACAGACATAGGTGTATAACCGCCAGATTATTGCAGAGACAGGAAAGCGTTTTAGAAACGGACCTGAAATTCAGCGGAACGATTCATGTACACAGGATGGTTGCTAGTGCATTTTCTTCATGTAGCACATTTCCAATAAATGGTGCCAATACCAGTGTGCCATGATGCAACCCGTTGATGATGGTTACTGGTGCCCGTACCAACGGTACCCAACATTGGTTGTTGTTGCCACTA